CACTAACAGACACAGGCATATACCATGCTGTCCTTTTCAATGCACACATTGATTTCTAGGTTTGGAAGATTTTTGGTTTAATGGGAATTTTTGCCTACTTACTTTTTAGTTGTAACATACAGTTCAAAAGCTTGTCCTTGATGGAAATGAACATCCTCGATAGAAGACTCAAGAGCTTCCATAAATATGAGACTGTTTTTAGAAATTATTTTGATATGAGTTAAAAATGTGGTGTGAAAACATTTTTCACTTATATCTCTGGAGACAGTTTATACTGCCACCCCCCTGCACAACTGTGGCTTGCAGCTGCATTTATACCTGATGGTCCATTACTTCTGATTCTAGTGTACATCTTACCTTCTTCGTGCCAGCACACATTGGGTTCTGGGGGCTGTTCTTTGAGATACGGGGGGGGTTGCCACTCTTCTAGGGGTTGCTTCTCATGTTGCTTTTTATTTCTGTGTTAGAAAAGGCATGCTTCTGATCATATTGTCTTTCCAGTGGTTTCACAGATGGGTAGGACCTCTCATGTCAACTTCCCAGTCAATATATCCAATTTGTTGCTCTGTCCAAACTAAACTGAAGTCTCTTTAAATATGAAGCTGTTGCCAGACTGATGTTAAAAACTGGCTTACAGCAAATTGTGAAAGCACTTTGAGATACCTTTCCTAGTAATGTATTCCTACATAAAACATATCAATGAGCTACAGTCTGGTATATGCTCTTTGCATTTAAAAAAAAATATTTCCGTTTTAAGAGAGAGAACTCAAAGTGTGCTCAAAGTACTATGAGCTTCTTTTCCATGCCTGTATGTGTAGATCAGAGCTCATCTTCAAGCATGGCAATATGAGAAATGGCTAGTACAAGCCAGGACCTAGTTGAGCGATATGATTAACGGTTAAGGGGTTTCTCTGCTGTGTGTTGGCACATCTCCAGGGGGACATTTGATAACCGAGCAGTAGCTGTGAAGAGAATTCTCCCCGAATGCTTCAGCTTTGCTGACAGAGAGGTGCAGCTGTTGCGAGAATCCGACGAACATCCGAACGTGATCCGCTACTTCTGCACGGAGAAGGACCGTCAGTTCCAGTACATAGCCCTTGAGCTCTGTGCTGCCACTTTACAGGAGGTAAGCTCTGGGTTATAGGCACATTGTGTGAGCTCTGACAGCGGGAGACTTGGCAGTTCAGAGGGTGAAAGTTTCAAGCTAAGTAATGTCTTGGTTGTGCTGTAGAGGAGTCATGATCATCTTTAGATAGCAGTTTTTGTTCTGTATTCTAACCGCAGTAAGGACCAAACTAGACATTGCATGTTTTAATGATTCACATCTGGGTTCCACCAACCCAAATCACTTTTCCTTCAGTCTGACAGCAGCTGTCGGGAACTAAGTTCCCAAGGGGTCCCGTTCAGATTGAGACCAGGGGTCATTTCGTAGAAAAAGAGCTAGGGGAACTCATTAGCATAACTCATTAGCATATGCCACACCCCCTGACATCAGGGGCCCGGCGGTGGACCTGCAAAGCCGGAGGGAGTGCGAGGAAGCCCCGCCAAGGCCCTCCCTGACCCCAGGCAGGCAGGGGTGGGGAGAGGCGGGGAGGAAGCAACTTACCCTCCCTCTTTTCCTGCCTCCTCCTGGCTGAATGAGGGCTGGAAGCGGGGTGGCCGGAAGCAAGGGGCGAGGCTTCATCAT